GATCCCTTTTAAAGGACCCTAAACCCTTAACCCTAGGCCCTAAACCCCAAAACCCCCTTTTTTGATCCCTTTGAAGGAACCCTGAACCCTTGACCCTAAGCCCTAAACCCCTAAAACCCTTATAGGTCCCTTTAAAGGACCCTAAACCCTTAAACCTAAGCCCTAAAACCCCTAAAACCCTTATAGTATTATAGATCCCTTTGAAGGAACCCTAAACCCTTAGCCCTAAGCCCTAAAACCCCTAAAACCCTTGTAGATCCCTTAAAGGAGCCCAAAAAACCCCTAACCCTAAGCCCTAACCCCCCGTCCGCCCGCAGAGCCCGCTCCTCCAGGCAGGTGCCCGTCTCAAAGAGACTGGAAAGCCCGATCTGGCCCAAAAGAGTCGGATTCTCATCGTTAGAAGCGGGCTCAAGTTCAGTGCTTTAAACCCTAAGCGCTAAAGCCTAAACCCTAAACCGTGGGGTTTAGGGTTCAGGGTTTAGGGTTTCGGGTTTAGGGTTGTTTATCAATGATCATAAGATTGTTTTCATAGGGTGCCATACCTCAATATAAGGGCTTTTATCAATGACTATGAAATGGTTTTCCATAGGGTGCTATACCTCAATATCAGGGCTTTTATCAATGACTATGAAATGGTTTTCCAGGGTGTGTTCTGCCTCAGTATATGGGCCGTGGGGTGTTATACCTCAATATATGGGCCTTAAGCAATGATTGTAAAAGGGGCTCTCCACTGGGTGCGATACCTCAATATATGGGCCTTTCAATGATTGTACAACGGTTTTCTATAGGGCCTTATAGCTCAATATATGGGCCTTTGTCAGTGATTGTAGAAGGGTTTTCCATACGGTGTCATGCCTCAGTACATTGATCTTTCTCAACGATTATAAAAGGGTCTTCCATGAAGTGTTGTCGCTCAATATATGGGCCTTGTCGGTGATCATAAAAGGTGAAATGCCCGAGCTAACTTGTGCGAAAATCCTTCGTCACTGTATTTTCTAGAGGGCTTTATAGGTCAGCAAAGGGGCCTTTATGAATGATTACAAAAAGGTTTTCCATAGGGTATTATGACTCAATATTCATACATATATATGTATATATCAAGGATTGTAAGCTTTTTCGCTGGTTTTATAGCTCAATATGTGCGGCTTGTTAACGATGTTAACAGGCCTTTTTGGAGGGGTGTTCTCAGGGTTTTCGGCCTGTTTATGAAGGCCCTATAAGGTTTTAATATAGGGACCTTGGCAAGTGCCGATATCTCAGGATTTCTATCCGGAAGTTCTACCCTTAATGCCCTGAACACGGGGGCAAATCCCTTCAAGAGCTGGAAATCTCAGGCCGTCATAGGTAGAGGGCTCTTAGGGGCTAGGGTTCCGAGCCGTAAAGTCTGAAGACAGCTTCAAGGACCGAATATACTGTTGGTTTAGGGTTTAGGGTTTAGGGTTTAGGGTTTAATGTTGGAGGATGTTGGAAGATCTCACTCCATCCGAATCCCAATGTCACCCAAAAATTCCTCAAATCCCGAAACCACCTCAACCCTGCAGTGCGTCAAAACTGCAGGCTTGGAGTCCAAGCCTCAAGGACAAAATTCGAACACCGTCTAAGTCTACACCTAAACCCCTGAGCAAGCCCAAACAGTCTCAAACCCCAGACTCGAAATCCTCAACTCCCAACCCCTGAACCCTAAACCTCCGACTCTACAGTCTTGAAACCGGCAGCTCTAGAGCTCGAAAACTGCAAACCCCAAACCCAAAAGCCCAAGACCCTTGAACTGTCTGGCTGTGGCGCTTAGGGTTTAGAGTCTGGGGTTGGGTTTATAGGGTTTATAGGGCTTATAGGGTTTATAGGGTTTAGGGTTTATAGGGCTTATAAGGTTTATAGGGTTTAGGGTTTAGGGTTTAGGGTTTAGGGCCTAGGGTTTAGGCTTAACTCTCACCGACCTTCAGGATCGCCGCTGGAATGCGCTGCGCACGCAGGCAGCGCAACGTTGGTGCCGCCCGCTGCAAGGCCTCGGACTGACTGAACAACTCGTGGGCTTTTGGCTTAAGGTGTAAAGAGGTTACTTGGAGGTTCATGGGTAGTTTTACGTAGAGTTATAAGTCCCGAAATATGGGCCGGAAAAAATAAGTTTCCCTACTTATAACCTCACTGATAGCTACCCATAAACTTCCAAGTACCATCAAGGTCAGGGTTTGAGACTGAGGGTTTGGGCATTGGGAATACTGGGATACTATAAGACTACGAAGATGGGATACCCTTTTTATATGGACCTTACATTGGGGTGTAAGGAGCTTGCCTTCGTCAAAAAACAGTCAAGATGCTGCCTTATAATATACTATAATATACTATAATATACTATAATATACTATAATATACTATAATGTACTAAAATGTACTACAATATACTATGATGTACTATAATGTACTATAATGTACTATAATGTACGACAATATACTACAAACATCCTGGTGGGGATCTTTTGGACTTTGCGCAGACTCAGACCAGAAACCCGGGTCTGCTTTCCGCAACCACGGCGGTTCGATCTCCCCAGAGGTTTAGGGTTTAGGGGTTTAGGGTTTAGGGTTTAGGGTTTAGGGTTTAGGAACCTAATACTCCTTAACTAAGGAATATACCTTAAATTATAGGGGCCTTAATCTTATGATATTCAAGGTATATTCCTTAGTTAAGGAGTATACCTTAAATTATAGGGGCCTTAATGTTATGATAGTTAAGGTATATTCCTTAATCAAGGGGTATGGGGTTCTCTGGGTCATGGTGGCCACAAATCTTGGCAGGGCAAGGCGGTAGGGCTTAACATGGCCATTACTCCGGGGGGATCCCGAAACCCCCACACCCTAACACTCCAAACACGAACCGCAGGAAAAGGGCTCAACCCCCAAAACCTCAGGGAACTTCGAAAGCCGCCACAACTCGGAGAGTCGTGAAAAGAGTCCCACAACCCTGGCAGCCGGGCCGTGAGGATAGATTTGCGGAGCCACGGTCGTGCCTGGCATGGGGAGCGGCTAGGTTGAGACACGCCCTCGGGGCCACATTTTTACGGTGATTCTAGATTTCTCCATTCTTTGCAGTCAAGATATGATCAACTGGCATCCCCCGCGCTCAGATGATCTGAGTTCCAGACTTGGGCGAACATACACATAACAAAATACCGAGATACGAAGCAGTAGCTTATGCATGCAACCGAAGGCGGCTTTATGCATGCAACTTCAACTTGCGCAGTTTCCGCTGTCACAGGTTAGAAGGATGGAAAAGGGTTGCGAGGTCCCAATTTTCCCTCGGAACAGCTTTGATGTGTTTAAAGATGCTTGTGGTCTCTTAGCCTGTTGTTTTATGTATTGGACCATGTGCTAGTCTTGTTTGCCCTGGGGTATCGTATGAGGCGTGAGGCTATAGAGTGAGGGCATCACACTTCATTACTTCCAGTCTCCTTTCTTTCGGGGGGGGCGGGGGGGCAAAAAAAACTCCTCCGCTGTTCAATATGTTTGTCTTTTTCTCCCCCCCCCTGTCCCTCTCGCGAAAGCCTGCAGACTTGAAGTGATGAAATGATGCTCTGAATCCGTAGTCGCACTCTGCATGTGATACCCCAAGACAATGGTGCACGACATTGCGCCTTCGTTAAGCGCACAAGAGATCTCATGAGGGGACCGGAAAGGGAATCCGAACATCTCCTTATAGCTACGAACAAGCCTGGATTTGGGGGCGTAGGGCTTAGGGTTTACGGCTTATACCAGAATTTGCTCCAAGACCCTGTTCTTCTTCGTAAGGCCCCTATATGAAGTTGGGCTGGAACTAGCCGAACACTTCTCCACGAACTGGAGACTCCTTCTAACATCGTGGCCTCAGCAGAGTCAGGAGAGTGCTGGAGTAGGGCATACCACGCCGCGATTTAGCTCTGAAACCCCATTTAGACTTAAGTTGAAGCTTGAAGCTTCGGTGCTCTTTTTGCCATCGCCGCGCACGCATGTACGACGCGTGCTTCGGCGCTGGCGCTGCCGGGTCTCGAAGATTTTTGAGGTATTTAGCTTGTTTCAGATACTGTTCGATTTGCCCATGAAGCTGCTTTGCGGCGTGCTTTCGAGCGGTGTGGTCCCCTACACACTTTCTGGAAAGTGTCCATGCTTGGTTAGCTCTATCCAATGCGGAAACTGCCATACCATTTCTCCTGCCTGGGGCCTGTATCCGATCTTTGGTACGGGAAGCAGAGTACGACATTATGAAGTGGGTCTTCCGGGGCGGAGCCCTAAACCCTAAACCCTAAACCCTGTAGGAGTTGATCTGCTCTTTTAGGAGGGTTTGAGCGGGACGTCGTGATCTCGGGCTTCGTCGCAGACACGGTTTGAGGATTTTGCTAACTCTGGAGTAGCACGTCCCAGGAACTTATGACACCAGGCGTCGATTCTTTTAAGTTTAGGGGTCGGTTAGCGTCAGGGCTTGAAGACCATAGCACAGCGTGTGGCAAAAGGTGGTTTTAAAAACATAAAGCTTATGTTTGTTCCAGCATTTGCTGTTCCAAACCACCCTTAGTTGCTTATAGACTTCTTCGCCCAAGGCTGCTCTATGTCGAAAACAAATTTCGAAGGGATGGTCCCCTGCAAACCCTAAACCCTAACAAACCCTAAACCCTAAGCCCTAA